CAGTGGCAATGTAACCCGACGTTCCTCCCTCTCACGCCCTTCCTGGGGTATTTCGCCTCCGTTTCCTTCCATGTTATCCTCATCCACAATGTCATCCTCATCCTTTTCTCCAGCTTGAACCCGCCTCCTTTATCATCTGCCCTCTCTTCCCTCCTGGTCTCCCCCACATGTCACATGAAGCGCTGCCGTTTCAGGATGCCGACCAACAGCCTGGATCTCGACACGTGAGCCGCGCCCCTCCCAAGCAGTGGTCGCAGTGGCGCGTTGCCGATGTTGGTGGGATACGTTTGTCTTATGCGTTGCTGGATGCTGATTCCGGTCTGGGGGGCGATGATCTTTGATGATTTTTGATTATCATGCACCGTGCTTGGTCGTGGGTCAGTGGCGTCTTAGATGCTTGCTAGGGTCGGGGCCGTCTTGGGGGCCTCGTGGGCCGTCTTGTGGCTCTCTTGGGCCGTTTTGGGGGCCTCTCGAGCCGTCTTGGGTCGTCTCGGGGCCCTCTCGGCGGCCTCTTGTGCCGTCTTGGGGCGATCCTGGAGGCCTCTTGCACCGTCGGGAACCCGCAGGGGCGACAGCACTAACATCTTCAAAAGCTAACGAACATTCTGATGATTTTGACTTGTCGAGGTCATCTTTGGGGGGCTCTTGGGGCTCCCTTGGGGGGGGGGGGGGCGTCCTGGGCCTGGGGCGATGCTGTACGCTCCAGTGTCCTGGGTGCCTTCATGAGCCGTGCCTCCGGAGAAGTCACGCGACGACGTGGAGGAGATCTCGAGAGCGCCCCGGAGCGCCCGCCGAGAGCGCCTGTGAATCCCATATGCTAGACAGGAGACATTTCGAGACCTGCGGGCACTCCACTCAGTGTCTCGCGGCACGGTGACGGATTTTCCGAACAGGCTCGCTACGGTCGCGCGTTCTCGATCTCGAGGGGACAGTGGCGCGATGATGGCACACGGGCTGAGGTGGCATGCCTGGTTGGCAATGATCGTGGTGGGGAAGAGGATCGGCGATGATGTCGCCGTTGTTGACGTTGGCTCTCTCGTTCATGCTGTTTTTTCCTAACAGCGAAGACTGATAGGTTTCTAGTGGTGTCAAAAGAGAGCATCTGATGACTCCGTAGCCATTTTGGCTCAAGCAAGTGATGTTGCTTCAATCATAGTAGCCGTGGCTGTTGATGAGGAAACAATGGTGACTTCGGACCATAATGTTGATTCACCTGCAAGCATGGTAAAAGATTGGGCGCAACAGTTTGCTCAGTCGCCTCGACAAGTACACAGCAAATTCTTACAGAGCACGTGCGAAATCAGCGGCCTAGTCACCGTGGAGTGGTGCAATGCTGGGCAAGGGACTGGAAACTGCTTGAATAGAGTATTGACGGCCGCATTGGTAGCAGTGGTTTTCAACAGATCGCTTGCCATCACTGGGATAAGTCGACCGGCTTTTGGTGTAGGATTGGAAGAGAGCCAGGGGACAGTCATGCCTTGGTTGCTTCCTCCAGAGTGTTTACAGTTGCAGGGTGCTGGTGACTTCCCAACATGCAGTCGTGGAATCCTCAGCACTCGTGGAGGCTCGAAGGAAAAGTGGCATGACATGGTCTGTGTAGATTTCTCGCTCTTTGATATTATACATGTGGACACGTTTGCCTTCTGGGACTTTGGCCATCTTCAATTGAATAGAAGAACCCCGTACCCCTTCAATGAGCGCCTCATGCAACTAACAGCTCCAGGTGTCAATGCATACGGCCTCGCTCTCCATGCCTTGTGGCCGCATGGCCTTACAAGAGTGAGTGCTTCATTGAATAAGGCAAGCCTTGGAAGAATGAATGCAGGATTGCACATTCGATGCCATTATACAAGTTGCTCCAAAGAGAATTTAGGCAAGATTGCTCAATGTGTCGCCCAGCGCCTTGATAATCATACAGGCTCAAGTTGCAATATATTTTTGGCGTCAGATCAAAAAGATGCTCTTGAGATGGCAGGCTCAATGCTCAAACTAAATAATCCAGAGTGTAATGTCCTTGTTGCCGCGGATATGCGCGCCTACCTTGCATCTGAGCTAAAGGAAGAAATTCAAGATTCGAGAGTGTCAGAAAAGGGGACTCACGGCGACCGTGAAACATGGAATATGCCAGTGGATCTGGAAATGCTTGCTTCATCAGAGCTAGTTGTTGGGACACGGCGGAGCACATTGAGCACCCTTGTCGGTGCCTCATCTGGTCGCCTGTACTACATTGGTGAGTGCAACCCTTGGCATCATAATTTTCCCTTGGATGACCGTGGCTACAGTGATTCTGGTTTCAAAACGGCACAGAGTATGGCTGCACAGTTAGTTTGCGACGAAGGCTCGGAACTATAAAGTCAGTCGGCGGCACAGCTTTTTGTATTCTAGCATACTTTATGATGGGCAGGAGATCATGCACGAGGACATCACATTATGATTTGACGACCGTATGTTTGAGAATCATGCCATGCAAACGCCAAGTATACCAGCTTGGAGCTCACGAAGGCGCCGCGGTCATGCGAGCGCCAGATATCTGGGCATGGAGCTCGCACGGGAGCCGCGGCCGTGCAACAACAAAAAAAAAGAGAGCATCTGATGACTCAGAAGGGAGGTCTGGGCGGCATCCGGACAGCGAGGGCCGGGCTCTGGGCCGGGCTCGTTTTCAGCAAACAGTTACACACTTCGTGCTCTTCGACCTCCCAGAACTCCATTCCCGGGCCACATTTTGAATGCCCGAAGCCAACTGTAGGCCACTTCGTGCTCTACGACTTCCCAGAACTCCATTCCCGGGCCACATTTTGGATGCTCGGAGCCAACTGTAGGCCACTTCGTGCTCTTCGACTTCCCAGAATCCATTCCCGGGCCACATTTTGGATGCTCGGAGCCAACTGTAGGCCACTTCGTGCTCTTCGACTTCCCAGAACTCCATTCCCGGGCGACATTTTGGATGCCCGGAGCCAACTGTAGGCCACTTCGTGCTCTTCGACTTCCCAGAACTCCATTCCCGGGCCACATTTTGGATGCTCGGAGCCAACTGTAGGCCACTTCGTGCTCTTCGACTTCCCAGAACTCCATTCCCGGGCCACATTTTGAATGCCCGGAGCCAACTGTAGGCCACTTCGTGCTCTTCGACTTCCCAGAACTCCATTCCCGGGCCACATTCTGAATGCCCGGAGCCAACTGTAGGCTACTTCGTGGTCTTCGAGTTCCCAGAACTCCATTCCTGGGCCACATTTTGAATGCCCGGAGCCAACTGTAGGCCACTTCGTGCTCTTCGAGTTCCCAAAACTCCATTCCTGGGCATGATTTTGAATGCCCGGAGCCAACTGTAGGCCACTTCGTGGTCTTCGAGTAGGCAGGCTGAGGCTGAGGCTGAATGAAGCAGGCTGATGCTGAGGCAGGCTGAGGCTGAGGCTGAGGCTGATGCAGGCTGAGGCTGAGGCAGGCCGAGGCTGAGGCCGAGGCTGAAGGCAGACTGAGGCTGAGGCTGAAGCAGGCTGAGGCTGAGGCTAAGGCAGGCTGAGGCTGAGGCTGAGGCAGGCTGAGGCTGAGGCAGGCTGAGGCTGAGGCTCAGGCTGATGCAGGCTGAGGCTGAGGCAGGCTGAGGCTGAGGCCGAGGCTGAAGGCAGACTGAGGCTGAGGCTGAAGCAGGCTGAGGCTGAGGCTGAGGCAGGCTGAGGCTGAGGCTGAGGCAGGCTGAGGCAGGCTGAGGCTGAGGCTGAGGCTGAGGCTGAGGCTGAGGCAGGCAGGCTGAGGCTGAGGCCGAGGCTGAAGGCAGACTGAGGCTGAGGCTGAAGCAGGCTGAGGCTGAGGCAGGCTGAGGCTGAGGCTGAGGCTGAGGCTGAGGCAGGCTGAGGCTGAGGCTGAGGCTGATGCAGGCTGAGGCTGAGGCAGGCTGAGGCTGAGGCCGAGGCTGAAGGCAGACTGAGGCGAGGCTGAAGCAGGCTGAGGCTGAGGCTGAGGCAGGCTGAGGCTGAGGCTGAGGCAGGCTGATGCTGAGGCAGGCTGAGGCTGAGGCTGAGGCTGAGGCTGAGGCTGAGGCTGAGGCCTGAGGCCGAGGCTGAAGGCAGACTGTGGCTGAGGCTGAAGCAGGCTGAGGCTGAGGCTGAGGCAGGCTGAGGCTGAGGCTGAGGCAGGCTGAGGCTGAGGCTGTGACTGCGACTGCCGTTGCCACTGCGACTTTCATCGCGAATGCGACTGCGACTGCGAGAACAGCAGAATTCTACAACTGGATTCTCATGTGAATATTAAGGGGAATGCTTCCAGATATGCTCCTACACATCGCTGTTAGGTTGCTTTGCCGGGATAATTCGATGTAATGTCGGTGTTGCCTTTCTTGCTGCTGTTAATGGTGGTGACGAGTTGTATGCTCGTTCGAGGCATCGGCATTCTCAGCATCCCTTGACGCCTGTAGTGGTTGACGGGAAGCGCCTCCGGCGTAAACCGTTTGCTGGTGGCAAAACGTTAGTTACGTGGTACGTATTGCACTGGGAAGCTCGCTGGCAGATGGTGGGAAGCGGAAGCGCCTTCGAGGTACGAGAAGCGAGCTGGAGGTTGTGCTGAATCTGCACAGATGTAATCATCTCTTACTAATAGAGGGTGGCGTGTTGCACGGTATCGTTCGTTAGCGGATCTCCAAACAGCGATTTCGCTGGAGTCGTCCTTACAAAAATGAGATCTTCGCCACATCGCGTTTTTCAAAAACAGGCGTTTCTCTCGAGACATCCTCGAACAACTGAGATCCGCGAAATGCGTTAATATTAAAGGTTTGTGTTGCACGACATAACGCACATGAACACGGCAGAACACGCAGGAGCACAGCAGAACACACAGGAACATCCGTAGCCATTTTGGCTCAAGGCCATGGAGCACCCGACGACCGCGAGTCGTCCGCGGCGTTCCGAACGCGAGGGGCTCCTCGCTTTGGGCCAGTGCAATTCTTTGTTCTGCTCCCTGCATACGCAGCGCGGTGGCGCATCCTGTCGGCCCACGCGGCCTGGGTAATGGCGCGGCCCTCGCGGGGTGGCGGCAGCGGAGGCAGGCGCAGCAGGACGTACTGGATGTGCAGCTGCGGCGGATGGAACTGGGACTGGCGCACCACGTGCATTGGCTGCGGGTATGCGGCCCCGCCCTGGGCGCTGGGTGCTGCTGCCAAGGCCCAGCCCCAGGCAGACAAGGACGGCTGGGTAGATCAGCCGCGCGGGCGCTGTGCCCAGCGGCAGGCCCGCAGTGCGGCTACGAGTGCTTCAACCTCCAAGTCGCAGACCTCGGCATCGGGCGCCAGTGGGACGCCCAGCGGCAGCGGCGCCACGGCGATCGAGAGGCTGCAAGTGGCGGTCGAGCAGCTGGAGGCGCCGCAGGCGGAGCCGCCCGACGGAGTCGACTGTTGCTTCACCGACGTCGTCGCTAGCCAGCTGGAGGCCAAGCGCGCCGAGCTGGCAGAGGCCCAGCGAGCCGCAGCGGAGCAAAAGGCGTCCTCCATGCCGCTGTCGACGATGCCCCACAAGGAGGCGAACGCCACCAGCAAGGCGGAGAAGCGCCTCCGAGCAGCGCGCCAGAGCCTGGAGCAGAAGCAAGAGGCTCGTAGACTCGTCGAGGCCCAGCTGCAGAAGGCCCAGGAGGAGCTGGCGCAGCTCGACGCGGAGGTGGAGGAGGCCAGCCGTGCGCTCCACGCCCTCGAGGAGGAGGCCAGAGTGGAGGCCGCGGCGCAGCTGCGCCAGCGCGCGGCCGAGTGGGCAGGGGCCAGCCAGGTCCCAGGGCTCTTCATGCAGCTGGACGAGCTACCCGAGGCCTGGGGCTCCAGCAACTTCGAGGTGGCGTGGGCGGCCATTCGCTCCCAGGTGGAGGCAGTGCGTGCGCAGCTTGCCGAGGCCCCCGTCGCCCCGAGGAGCGCCCTGGGCGGAGTCGTGCCACGTGGGCGAGATCAGCAGCGAGGGCGGCGACCACGCAGGAGGCTGCAGGCCCTGGCAGCCGCAGTGCGCCGCGGAGCGTGGCCAGGCCGAGCGACGCGGCGGCGCCCGCGGTGAGTGGCCGACGGTCGCCCAGGCGTGCAAGCGGGAGCTGGCGGCCGAGGCTGAGGACCTGGCCCCTCTGGCTGCTCGCCCTGCTCGCCGCGCCGCTGGGAGTCGCGGCGGAGGCGAGAGGCCGCAGCTGGCTTGCGCGTAGCCACGCCAGCGGCGCTTTACATAGGCAGCAGGAGGGCGGCGGTGCCGAACCGGCCCGCTTCGGAGCCGCGCGGCCCCTCGACCTCGGGAGTGCACAAGCCCCGCCGGCGCCGGGCCACGCTGGGACGGCAGCTCAGGATGACCGTTGCGGACTGGAGGAGTATGGGGCCAACGGCAACGCATGGTGGTGGAGCCTGGAGGGGGCCGAGGCCTCGGGCGCGCGCAGCGGGGCCCCGCCGCGCCTTGTAGGGCACCAGGGGGCCCGCCTGGCTTCGCACCGCTTGGAGGAGGCCAGAGGAGCAGCGCGGCGCATGGGCTCTACGGCGTTCCTCCACGCGTCGGCGCCCACGGACAAGGAGGGCCAGCTGGCGAACTCTGGCGGCGTCGCAGGCTGGAGGCTGGGCTGGTGCGGAGTCACAGCGTCAGGCCTGCGGCTGCTGGCGTGCTCGCTGGGGCCCAAGGGCTTCGACCTCGACAGCCTCGCTGCCTTCGGCGACGCGGTGCTCTACCAGAGACCGCGGTTCATTCCCGTCGTGGGCCTGGCCACCGGGACGTTCAGGACCAACGGGGCAGGTTTGGCGGGGTGTGCGAGTGGCCTCACTGTAGCCAAGCCGCCTGGGCGGGCTGCCCTCCGCGCAGCCCCTGCGGGCGACAGGCCGCTGGGTGTGGCTTGCTACGACGACGGCGACATCGCGCTGCAGGCCGTGGGCACGGGGCAGCTGGTGGCCGCGTGGTTCGGCAGAGCAGGGCTGGAAGTGGCGCGCCGCCTCCGCGGTCAGCACCTGCCCCTCAGTGCTGCCAAGACGTCCTTCCTCGCTCCGAGCCCCTGCCCAGGACGCCAGCTCGGGGCGTGCGGGAAGTCGCAAGGCTGGGCCCTCGGCGAGACCTTGCAGGCCAGGAACCTCGGCTGGGACCCCGCCGGCCCGAGGTGGGGAGCGCATGAGGGCGGATCCCAGCTGCAGGAGCGCTTTGCCGATCGCGCAGGCTGGGCCCGTTCCACGAGGCTGGGCCCGCGGCCAGCCGGGTGAGCGGGCGCACGGTCACGGGCAACGCGGACTGCGAGCTGCACGGTTGGAGACTGGCGGCCTGTCGCAGCGCAGGAGCGCTCCCCATGGGCGCATAGCGCGGGCTGCACATGCGCTGCAGCGAGCTCAGGAGGAGGCGTAACCTGGACCCTGCAGGCCTCAGGGCAGGCCACGCAGTCCAGATGATGGCGAGCCTGCTGCAGGCAGGCGAGCTGCCGCCGATGCTGATTGGCAGGGGGCTGGAGGCGGCGGAGGCCAGGCACGCAAGAAATGACGCGCCATGGAAGCATTGCGCCTCCCCCCATCGACGCGGAGAGGCTGACCCGTGCGTGGATCGACTGGCACTTCAAGTCCGAGCGGTACATGGTCGCGGACCTCGGCGTCGAGCTCGACCTCATGCACCACGGGCCCCTGGAGCTGGGCTGGGAGGCGGGCCCAGGCGCTCGAAGTGCATCCCTTCGTCACGAGACGCGGAAGTTCAGCCTCGACACCTACCTGCTGGGGGCCTGCATCTCCAACCCGCGCTGGACGCAGGCCAGGCTCCTCGATGCGCGGGAGCAGGGGCAAACACGCTGCTGTTGCCGCGGGCCATCCGATGAGAAGCTCGACGGCAAGCTGTACCTCGACGGCGCGACGCTCGAGCCGCTGTTCGGCTCCCTGTGCTGGGAGGGCGGAGCCATAGAGCACCGCGACGGCGACGGCAACCTGGTGGCAGAGGTCTACGGCGCAGTCGGGAGCGACCGCTGCCCGCAGCGGGCGGCCAAGGACGGCGAGGACGTAGCGGCCTGGATGCTCGCCACCCTCGCAAGGCCAGCAGTGGAGGGGGTCAGCATCGACTGCTCGTGGCATGCAGTGCTCGACGGGCGCCTGGCGGAGGCCCAGAGGCGCGGCGACGAGCGCGCCGACCGCCTTGCAGTGAGGATGGCCCAGATGCATGCAGTGGGCAAGGTGACCGTTGGCGGGTGCCAGGCGCAGGCGGGGTTCGTGCAGGTACTCGGGCGCTGGATCTGGTGTGCCGTCATCCTCGGGCAAGGCATTGAGGCCAGGGACGGCGAAGGGCTCCCTCATGCTGCCGAGCGGCGCCAGGCGCGTGTCGCTGACGCCGAGAGGTCCCAGGCGGCGGAGGGGGCCAAGGGCGGGGGGCCGTCGGCCGAGCGGCCGCGCCTGGAGAGCGCCCGGTCGACAGGCAACAGCTCGGCAGCCCTTTCGGCCAGTGCAGTAGCCTTCAGCATCCTGGGACATGCCCTGTCCTACGCCTGCGCTGGAGATGGTGAGGGCACCCAGGAGCTCGTGGCGTGCTCCAAGTGTGGCGCCTACATGACGCTGGGCGGCCGCTCAGGGGTGAAGCCTCGCCTCAAGGAGCGGTGCCCAGGCGACGAGACCGACAGGGACGGCAGGAACCAGCGCAGCCTGTGGCTACGAGGACTCCATCCTGGTGGCAGGAGGCAAGAGGGGTCACGAGCTGCCAGGCACAGAGTGAAATGAGAGGGCATCCCTACGCTGCGATCGCAGGGTCCAGTGCCAGTGCACGCGCAGGAGCGGTACCTGGAGTGGCTTGGCACGGCAGCGGAGCCAGCTGCAGGCCCCTCGGCCACGGCGAGCAGTGCGGGCAGCGGCCCAGCGGCAGCGGCGGGGCCGCGTGTGGCTGAGGACTCAGGAGGAGGCCCCTCGGATGCGTCCGTGGCCGCGGCCGCCGCCAGGCCGCCCAAGCGGCGCCCAGCTGCGGCGAGCGTGGAGAACCTCGGCGAGTTCGGGGTCGCCGATGTGGGGATCGCCGCCGCGGCTGGCTCTGAGGGCGGAGCCTTGGAAGGCCGCAGGGTACGCCGCCGTGTGGCGCACCGTGGCGGCCTGTCCGTGGCTGGGTGAGTGAAAGGTTGCATCGCTGTGGCTCGCGCCTGCTGCTCCACCTGGGAGCAGGCTTCCGCCGCCCTCGGTGCCTTTGGGACTCGGCGTCTCTCGGGAACGCGGGTCCCGTCTGGCCCTGTCCGTTTGCTTGCACTTTGCCTGAAGGCCCCGTCTTTAACTTTAACTGTAACACACGGGAGCACGAGGAGCATAGCAGAAAACACACAATATATAGGAACACGGCAGAACATGTAGGAACGCGGCTGGAAACGTAGGTGCACGGCAGAACACACATAAAACATAGGGACATGTCAAAACAAGCAGGCACACGGCAAAACACACAGAAGCACGGCTGTACACAGGAGGAGAGGGAGGAGGAGGCGAAGGAGGAGGAGGAGGAGGAGGAGGAGGAGCATGGCAGAGCACGGCAAAACAAGCAGGAGCGCGGCAGACCACGCAGGAGCATGGCAGAACAAACAGGAGCACGGCAGAACACACAAAACACAGAGGAGCACGACAGAACAAGCAGGAGCGTGGCAGAACACGCAGGAGCAAGGCAGTACACATAGGAGCACGGCAGAACAGATAGGTGCACGGCAGAATAGACGGCAGAACAAGCAGGAGCACGGCAGAACACATAGGAGCACGGCAGAAAACGCAGGATCACGAGGAGCACGGCAGAACACACAGAGTACATAGGAGCACGGCAGAACACACAGGAGCATAGCAGAACCGACAGGAGCGCGGCGGATCACACAAGATTGCATAGGAGCACGGCAAAACAAGCAGCAGCGCGGCAGAACACAAGAGCACGGCAGAACACACAGGAGTACGGCAAAACACAGGAGCACGACAGAGCAGGACCATGGCAGAACACGCTGGAACACGTCAGAACACACAGAGCATTTATTGAATCGCTTCGCTCATTCCGCCGGCCCATTTCGCATGACTGAGCCTCTTGGGGCCGCT